GAGGGAAAACATGCACCTGAGAATTGATAGTGTATTATCTTTGGGATACTCAGAACATATTTCAAAGGAAGTGATGGAACATTAGAGCTGAATATAACCTGGTAGGCCCAGTTTGAGCCATGCATCTTTTTTGTGTTGATTTGTTTTTTTCAGGGAATTACTGAGATGAGGTAAGAGGCTTTTTCCTAAGCTGTGTAGTTCCTGGGAGAGTCCGTAGGGAAACTCTGATTTCCTTTCTCTTAGTTTTTCCTTATGCTGCTGCTGTTTCACATCTTTGCAGTCTCGGTTTGATGCGTATAGGTTGCATTGTGCCTGTTTTATATACTGAATCCAAAAGGCACGTTGGAAGAGGCAGACATATAGCAGAAGTTAGCTGCATGATAAGAGGGGCCTGAGGGGCAGGTTCTTGGGAAGAAGACTTGTGGTTTGCTTGTTTTTTTTTATTGTCTTGGATAAAAATTTGATTCCTATAAGTTTATTTTGCGTTCTGGATGTTACTGACCACCACACATGCAGATTTTCAGAGAAGGGTCTACAGGGTGTTCAGGGTCTCACTACTAGATCAGACATAGTGATCTGCCTGTTTACAGCCTCCCAAGTGTTGGAATTACAGGTGGGCTCCACCACGCCCAGTCTCAATTGCCCTCTCAAGATGCCCCCAGGATGGGGCCAGCATGGCAGGCCTAGGGATTGAACCCCTGGACCATGCGCCTGCTTGCGGGTGTTCTAATCCGCTGAGCTATTTGGCCGGACCCTAGATTTTTCTGGATAGACTCAGACTCCTTATGATGGTCCTCTGGGTCCATCTTGATTGGCTCTGAACAGCCTGGCACCCAGCTTCCACTGTGTGCTCCAGCTAAGTAGAGTTACTATAAGTTTTACCCAGTGCCCAGGCTGTCCCTGCTGCGCCCTTTTCTTCAGCTAGCCTCTCCTACCAAGCCAGACTTCAGCTGTTCCCTGTGTTAGTATGGTTAATGTGATACCTCTGTGTTCAGTGGCCTCACGTGCATACTCCAGCAGACCACACACTTGGTCGTGGTTATTTGCCCATCTGCCTCTGGAAGGTAAACTTCTGGAAGGGAAGATTTGTTTTCTTTCTATTTTTGCTGCCTCAGAGGGCATGAAAATATTGTTTAATGAGGAAGCTTAAAATAGTATGCTTGCCAAGCTTGGTGGTGCTACCTGTAATCCCAGCACTCAGGAGGCTGAGGCAGTAGGATGGCAAGTTCAAGCCTAGCTGGGCAGCTTAGCAACTTTGCAAGGCCCTGTTTCAAAATAATAAAAATTAAAAGGGCTGCAGATGTAATTCAGTGGTAGAGTGCTTGTCTAGCCTGCAATTCCGTAGGTTCAATCCTAATCCTCCAGAAATCTGGAGCCACACTGCCTGAGTTTGAATTGAAAGTCCTACCTCTTGGGCAAGTGTCTTCTTATTTGTTTCTTCATCTGTTCCAGAAAAAGATGGAAGGGGGTAAAAACAATGCTTAGAGAGCTAAGGACTGCTGGAGTGGATCCCTGTAAAATCCTTGGGGCTGTGTAGCTGTAGTAAGTGCTCAGAAAGTGTTGCCGCTATGTGTAAGGGGTGAGGCCTTGGCTGCTGCCTTCTTGAACACCTGTGAGTTGTTCCTGACTCAAGGCTGACTGGCCTAAAGGTGACACTGCAGTGATGGCCAACAAGCGGAGCTCAGAGTACAGGGCGTCCGCAGGTGTCTGTTTGGGTGAGCCCAGGGAGGGCCTGACGGAGGGCCCGCGATGCTAATTGCTGTCTTGTCTGCTTGCTCCTCCTAGCAGCTTGGCAGTGTGCGAGCCTAGCCTGCCTGATCTTTGCTCCTGCTTTACCTCATTGCTTCTTTGAGAAAAGGCCAAAACCGACAGAAAGTCTGTATCTCTGCCTTAGAACCTTAAACTTTAAAGCCACAAGAAACTTGGAAGCATCCCCTTTCTCTGATCAGCCCCTCTCTAACTCACAGGGCCTTTTACACTGAGTTTCAACCCCAGTGTTTTTTTATTTTGTATGTTTATTTTTTATTTTATTATTATTATTTTTCATTTGTGTATTTGGTACAGGGTCTCACTATGCAGCTTGGACTTGTAGTTATCCTCCTGTTTTCAGCCTCCCAGCGCTGGGATTACAAGCATGCACTGCCTGGACTCTGTCGCTGGCTCAGTGCATCCTGGGAGCAGGGCGGTAGTAGCATGCAGGATCAGGGATCGAACCCTGATCCCTGAGCTTGCCAAAGTAAGTGCTTTGTGCACTGAGCTATCTCGCTGGCCTTTATTTGGTATGTTGAAATGGGGTTTGCCTGAGAGGCTAAATTGCCCAAGGTGGGCTTGAACTTGGAATCTTCCTCCCTCAGCCTCCTCACACCACCATTGCCCAACTCCTATTCCAGTTTTCATGAGGAGGCATGAAATGCCTGAGGGAGAAAATGCCCTGCTAAAGCCACCCAGAGTTTGTGTCACTGAGTCACAATAACTGAGATCTCAGACCCTCAGTTGAGGGCTGTAGACATTGCCTTGCCAGATAACTAGGAGACACTGGGCAGGTCACGGGCCTCTGGGGCCTTTTCTTTTACCTGAATCATTGAGAACTGGCTGTCATGGGAAAGGGACCTACCTGATCCTCAAGAGCGGAGACTTCGGGAGTGGCTGTCATGTCCATTTCCAGCTCTTTGCTTCTCTTTCCTGGAGATCTGGAAAACTTTGCAGTCGGGTGGATTAGGTTTGATGGGAGAGAATATCCAGCCCTGTCCGCTCTGCTCTTTGGATCCTGTCTCCAAGTTCCCACTTAGGTTTCCCCTCATCTGTGAAATTTTTGTGTAAACTAAAACTGGGGTGGATTTTTTTCTCTTCCTGGTCAGTTAGCAACCACCATTTGCTATTTATGTCTTTAGTTGGCACTTATCAGAATTGTTTTATATTGTTAGTCTTTATCTTTATGACCAGATGATAATCTTTCTAAAGTCTTCTCTGGCTTGCTTCAAAGGCTCCTGGCGTGTTGTAGACGCTCAGTTATGTTTTTGGTCTGTCAGATATTTATCTGATTTATGGCAAAGAATAAGGAAAGACGAAATGATCACCACCAAGATAGAAAATTTAAGTTTTGCAACTTCGTTAGGTGAGATGAAATATTACCTTATTGGGGCTGGGGAGATGGTTCATTAGAATAAGCACTTGCCTGGCAAGCGCAAGGGCCTGAGTTCAATCCCCAGTTCCGTAAAAAAACAAAACAAAACAAAAAATTACCTTATTGAGGGAAAGAAAAGATCACTTGGAAATAAGTTCTAAAGGAGTCCTTAAAGTGTAGGTGGAAAATGTACCAAAAAATCATTAAATGTGGAGCGTTCCTTTCCCCATTCCCACCCCTTCAGATTTTTTCCTGTACTGGCTAGAAAGTCTTCAGTCAGTGCTTGAGAAGAAGGCAAGTGATCAGTGACCATCATCCTCCACTGATTGTTGAGTGCTGAATTTAAAGATTTTACTAAGAGTTTTGTAAGAATCAATGATTCATGTATTTAACACACACTGATATAGCGCTTGCCATATGGTGGACATTCTGCCAACCCCTTTATGAATATCAACTCACTTGTAGTACAAGGCAGGTACAGCTATGATCTCCTGGTATACATAAGGAAACTGAGGTACCTCGGGGTTCCTTGGCTCTGCTAGGGAGAGGCAGAGCAGTGTGCAGCCCGGAAGGTGGGCTCCAGAGTGTGTGCCCTCCTGTGTGACGCTTTAGCCCATCTACTTTACTCTTACTCATTCTACAGTTTCTTGTTAATAAATCCTTTCTCCCTGTCAGCATGTAGGAAGCATTTTCCAACACCAAATCTTTTACAGATAGGTACTCAGAGAGTCGGTGTTCCATCTGCTAAGATCAGAGTCAGAGAAAGCATGGTCTCTTTGGACTGTGGTGAGTAGGACTGCTCAGAATAGTTCTCTGTGATCAATTTCCTATGCACAGATTTATTTCGTGTGGGGGGAGGGCTGCACTGTAGGGCCAGGAGTATTATGCAGATACCGGTGCAGCAGAAGCATCTAAAGAATTGCCTTCAGAAGGGAGTTGCAGCCGCCACTGCTAAATGCCCTGCTTGGAAGGGCTGCGGGGCTCCCTGCTGAGAGACACTGCAAGCAGCTTTGTCAGCTGGCTGCCTGGTGCCAGTTGTGGCACAGCCCAGGAGGGATATTGTGGCAGAGCTCCCAGAGAGAAATGAGGTTTGCAGGCCATTCCCGTGGCCCTGGCCATAACGAGGGTCATGTTTTGCAGAACTTAGCCCTTCAGTGGCTCTTCCCTCAAACTGTCTCTGTAGACTATAAATTTTTGATTGCTTTCAACTTGGTAGATTTGTTTGCACACTGGTAACAGATCATACACATTTGTGGGGTTTTGGGTAAGCTAGATTAACTTTTCCTTTGGTGTCATTAAATATGCTTTCCATGGCTGAAGAGTAAAGGTTGGCAAGAATTATTTGTAGGAAATGGAGCTTTCTGCACTTGTGTTGCCATCAAGGAGACTTTGGGTATTGAACTCCCACCACTGAGCCCAAGGCGCTGTGTGACTCGTTAGGTCACAAACGACTTTGGTGATTGTCTACAATGTGCCAGGTCCCAGTGTTGTGTTCATTATGTTACTTAATTTTTACATTGCTTCTCTAAGTATAACTAGATTCATTTTGTAGGATAATCAGATTAAGTGATCCCCCCGCAAGTCACGCATCCAGTAAATAGCTGAGATCCAATCTTAGGGTGATCTGACTCCCAAACCCCTTTTTTCTTCCCCACTAGAAATATATTCCATACCTCCTATAGAAGATACTGTGTGTGTGTGTGTGTGTGTGTGTGTGTAAGTTGTGTAGTTGTATGCACTATTGAATTGAGAGTAAGAAATTATGCAGGGTTCAGGGTTTGATCCCTGGTCCTGGGGTGTGCTGAGCTGGCCACCGTGTCTGGGCGTAGTGGTGCGTCTCTAATCCCAGTGCTGGGGAGGCTGAAAACAGGAGGATCACTACGAATCTGAGCTGCTTAGTGAGACCCTGTGCCAGATACATACAAAAAAAAAAAAAAAAGTAAGAAATTAATATGATCTAAAGATTTTTCTAAAATTTTTTCTCCCTGGAATAGGTATTTTAAACTGTGGGCTTTACTGGGCTAAGTGTAATTATGAGCTAATGTTTTTGTAGTTTATGCCAGCATTTCAAAAATCTTTTCCAGGTTCTCATATTTCCTCTAGGATTTGCCACATGTTAGCAATAAAGAAGATGGCTAATTGTGTTTCTTTATTCTTTCTTTGTTTAGGATGTGCTAGGCCAGGTTTTGCCCGAAGCCACAACTACAGCATTTGAATGTAAGTCTGGCTTGTGTACTTTCTTGACTGTTTCTTTCTGCAGTAATATTTCAAAGGGTTTATGGGTCATATTACTTTAGAAACTGACAAAAACAGATTATTTATGATCATCATATGGTACATTTAAATATTTATAAATTAATGCAAGTTTAATGATGATACTGAACCGAGTAATATTTTCTTATTTAATCATATCTTGGGCGTGCATATTTCTACAATATAGCTTTAATTACCAACATGACCTTTATCTGCTCTTGCTCCTCACCATAATAATATTGAGGCACAAAATGAAACATGTAAACTACCTGTAGGCCAATGATTATTGATGAAGAGATTTTAATCCTTTACAGCTTTGAAACATGGCAGTTGAGTTGAGCTTTTACGTGAGCATTGCATGGAACAGTTCTGTTTGGGTGGGGCTGCCGACGCTCTGAGTGGTGTTGGATGTCCCTCGGGTCTTGCTTCTTTCCCCTGTGGGCTGAGGTGGCTCCTCGACAGTGCTGGGTCTCCTAGAAAAGTGGTGGCAGAGCAGACCGGGTCGCTGCAGGGGAGCTCGTGCTGGGAGCTTAGCCAGCAGCAGAGGGGCCCCTGTGCCGAGAAGGGCAACGGAAGGCTTTGGAGCTGTGATTCTCATCCTGTTTTGAAGACAAAGGCCACTTTGCAATGTAGAAATATTTGTTTTCTCCACATGATAGCATACTTTATTTATTTATTTAGTGGTGCTGGAGATTGAACCCAGGCCTTTCACACTGAGCTATATCTCCATCTCTGTCTTAGTTACTTTTCTCTTGTTTTTGAGACAAAATACCCAGCAACCCACAAGTTAAGGGAGGAACGGTTTATTTAGCTCGCAGTTTGTAAACGTGTCAGCCCGTAACTGACTGGCCCCCAGGCGGGGTGGCACATGGCAGAGGGGCAGCAGTTCATGGTAGTGGGAGGACAGCACAGCCATACAGGGGTGTGAGACAAGGCTCCTTCTGTCCCTTACAGTGTATGCAGGCTACTCGCCCTAGCGTGGGTATAGCACTTACACCCTTCATCCTAGCCAGAAGCCAAAACAATTAGTAGGTTCATTTATTAATCACAAACCCTTAAACCCAGCATCACACGCTCTAGATTCAGCCACCATGAAAAAGTCCTATGACCTCATGGAGTGTTGGGGGGACATCTAGATATAGACCATAACGATCTCCATCTCCTTTTTCTTTTTTTCCTTTTGGTATCAGGAATCAAACTCAGAACCTTGTGCTTGCCAGGCAGGCACTTGTGCTGCTGAGCTATATTCCCAGTTCTCCATCTCCTTTTTCTTAAAAGATCTGAGATGGGGTCTGGTAAAGTTACTAACTTGCCCAGGCTGGGCTCCCACCTGGCAGTCCTCCTGCCCCAGCTTCCAGAATGCTGGGACTGCGGCCATGTGCCACCATTCCCCTCTATGATGATATACTTTTTTTTTTTTTTCCTGTTTTTTAAAGAAGATGACTGGTGACAGAGTACAACGAGATATCCTCTTGGAGGACAATTCGGCAAAATTTATCATTATAAAATGTACAAAACCTTTGACTCAGCAGATCTTCCTTTCAGAAGCCATCCAACAGGAATAGCTACACACTGCTGAATGACCTTTAACCAAGGTGTTCGTTGTGGGATTATTTTTAATAGCCAAAAATTGGAGGTAAACAAAATGCCTACTTAATGGCTTAATAAATTATAACTGTACATATCCTGAAATGTTAAGTAATAGTTGAAAACAATAAATTAGGGTTTTGTGCACTAACATGGAAAGATAACTATGACCTACAATTGGGTGGGCAAATGATATATGGTATGACCCCATTTTATATACATAGCTATCCCCTCCCTATATAATTTGAGGGGCAGGACCCAAGCAGTGCACACTGCAGTGCTTTCCTGGGGTATCCCCTGGAAAGTGGATGTGGGGCCTTGGAGAGATGGTGGTGGATAAATGAACTCACTTTTTACTTTAAGTAGTTCTCTATTGTTCGAATATTTTCAACAATCATTACTTATTTTTTGAAAGCTATTATGAGTAGGAGTGTCAATTAGTATTTTATAAGCCACAGTATACTAGTTAAGAAACAACAGTATGTGTATCTGAAACGCACAGTGTTGCAAGGTCTACACAGACTCCTCTGGTGGCTGCATGGGGGGTGCCGGCTGTCCCTGCCAGCCTGTGAGGTAGCGTTTGGACACTTCCTCTTGCCAGATGCTGCACTAAAGGCATTCCATGGGTGAGTTTGTTCAGTCATGCCTGCGAGATTGCTACAGAGCTCAGTAAAGGACAGTCATTAGCTGTTTTGGCCAAGGATGGACATTGCCTCTTAGGGCATCACCTTTAAGGGCCTCTTCTTCAAGGAAAGGGTATCTGTGGGCATCTTGCTCAAGTGAGTGGTCAGCTGGAATTTCTGGAGCAGATTCCATGGTGTACATTTGCAGTCACTGTGCTGAGTTGCCCTGAGAGTTTCTGTAATTGAAATTGTGTATTCTGATTTTTTCTTAAGCATGCCAAAAAGAAGTGCACTTTGTGCATTGCTTGCTGAGTCCCGAGACCTGTGCCTGCCCCATGAACTCCCTGAGCTCATAGAAATAACGTGGGTTCTTCTAACTATCACTCTCCGATGACCTCTTCTGTGCCAGCCAGTGCACTGATGCTTTGCATAGACTGCTGCTGTGGCTTTAGTAACCTTTACACTGACTCTGTGAGGACACCTGAAATGATTGCTAAAGGTGACCACTAGGGAGTGGCAGGGTCCAGATCTAGGCACATCATTTGGCTGTAAAAAGTGCACTTTTATAACCAAGCACGTGGGGGGAAAAACCTGTGAAATATAAATATAGAAAAAAAAAAACCATTTAAACTTCAAGGTTTAAATGATTTGACATGGTGTTTCTCCTTTTGCCCATAAGAAGGCAACAGATCTGTGGTCCGTGGCATCTGGACTAGTTTTAGATAACAAACAAACTGAAAAGAAAAACTCAGAGAAAGTAATGGCAAGCCTTAGCTTTTTTGTGTGTTTGGTTTATAATGTACTTTCCATTATAGACTTTCAATTCTAGGCTGGATTATTTATTTATTTTTTTAATCTATTTGGTTCAGGGTCTCTCTAAGCAGCTCAGACTCATGGTGATCCTCCTGTTTTCAGCCTCCCCAGTGCTGGTATTACAGGCATGCACTAGCACGCCCTGTCTCGATGGCTGGCTCAGCAATTGGCTCAACGATTAAACTCCAGTCTCTATGCTTGTTTAAGCACGTGCTTAGTCTGCTGAGCTATCTCACCGGCCCTCTAGGCTGGATTTTTCATGGTTGTTGTAGAGTAGGTTTATTTTATCAATAAGAAGTCAGAAGTAGTACATAGAATCAATTTATCTATCTGAAACAATATGTATTAGTCATAAAATATTTTATTGGAATTTTGGGAAATTTCAGTGGTTTATGAATATAATGAAAAAATATGTATATTCAAAGAAATATTTACACTAGTATATGTTATATTGAAAAGTATACCTAACACTAATTGATTTCATATACAAAAGAGATGCAGTTGCCAGGCTTGGTGGCACATTCTGATAATCCCATCTCTCTGGAAGGCTGAGGCAGGAGGACCTACAAGTTTGAGCTTAGCCTGTGAAATGTAGCAGAACTCCACCTCAAAATAAAATAGGACTTGGGATGTAACTCAGTATGAAGACCCCTGGGGTCCATTCTCAGTATTGCAGAGAGAGAGAGAGAGAGAGAGAGAGAGAGAGAGAGAGAGAGAGAGAGAGATTGATTTTATTTACTGTTTTGAATTAAATAGTAAGAGATAGAGCAGCTGTCAAATCACCATTTTGCCTAAATATGAAGAAAAATAGTTGAGAGTGGAAAAAGGGAAAGATCAGGTGATGTGTAGATTGTCCAGTGCTGAGAAATACCTTCTCTTCAGTGAAGCAAACCATTCATAATTCCAGATGGGGTGATCTCAGCACCTTTATTGTGGTGGGGAATCTTGTAGTTGGTGGTGTGGGGTTTTCCCTGCTTCACTAGATTTTGGTCACTTCATGAGATAAACACTAAGCTCTAACTCACTTCTGTTCTCTTCCTAGCACTGACTTTTAGCACCTTAGTGGAACACACTTGTTGAACAAAATGGAATGCTATATGTGTTCATATTCAAATGAAAATGATAAAATACATGCCACCAAAAGCCAAATGAATAATTTCCTTTGAAGGATTATTTGTGCTATTGTTGGGCATAGGCTATAGTTGGTTGGTGTGGACAATTCAGTCCCCATATTCTAATTCCCTTACTAACCTATGGCATGTGTCCAGATATTCCCCAAAAGGTCATAGGTGGGGCTTTTCAGAGGTGGCTGAGTCTAGAGTGTGTGATTGGTTCATGGCACAGCTAGGGTTAAGGATGGGTGGGTGATTATTAAATCAGTCCACTGATTGTTTTGGAACCACCCTAACCCCATTAGCCTGGATACAGTGTGAGGGACAGAAAAGACTGGGCTTATCTCTTGCTTGTTTTGCTATTTTCTGCTACCTTGAATGGTTTCTCTTCTGCAATGCCCACCCCTCTGGCATGCTGCCCTGCCTGGAAGCCAGCTGATTAGACTCTATAAACTGTGAGCTAATAAACCTTTCCTCCTTTAACTTTGGGTGTCAGGTATTTTGTCTAATCAGTGAACAGAGTAACAAAGATGGTTATGGTCTTACTTATTTTAATTTCTTGTCCTGGAGGTGGTGTTTCCAGATAGAGTGAAGGCTGGATGGAAGGAGGGAGGCCTGTCTGTGCTTAACTCACCTTTTGGACTGATGGTACTAAGCCTCTTTTTTTCCCCTTACCTCTTTTATGTCTTTTCTTCCTCACAACTACAGTACAAATGAAAGTTCTTATTAATAGCTAGTGTTTAATTATTTTTCTAATTTAAAAGATATAGACAATCATTGTAAAAATCAAGCAGCATAGAAACAGTAAAAAGTAAAATCCCCATTTCCT